GGGGGGGGGGGGCGCATGTGCAGGAGGCAGCCAATCAATGACTCTCTCATCATTGATGTTTCTATTTCTCTCTCTCCCTCTCCCTTCCTCTCGCTAAAATTAATAAAGACATATTTAAAAAAAAAAAAAGAAAAGAAACAAACACGTGAACTACCAGCTTGCTGACCACCCAGAGCCATAGCTCGGCCCAGCATGTTAATCTATGCACCTACACATTCAAGCCCAGCAGAAACCCTTCAGTCTCCAAGGCCATTCTTCCCTCCCCGTGCCCTGAATTTGTGAGAGTCAGAAAGGTTTGCAAACCTGCTTTTATGCATCTGATTGTTTTGTGAACCTGGAAGCAGAGACTTGGCTGGTTATGAAGCCGTCTCAGAAGTTAGTGATGTTATCTGTCATTGACAGGTAGATTTAAGTCTTCCCATCAGGTGGCAATGGGTGATGCTTTCCCGTGTTTTGCATGGCATGGCTCACCTCCAAGAAGAATAGCATTTTGTAGCACCTGGGGGACAGAGGTGAGGCTGTGCTGGACTTGATTGTGATGAGCAGCTTGCGGCTTCTGGTCCCCTCCTCACCTTGGGGGAACTGATCCCTCACCACCTACCTGGAGCCCATCACAGATCCGCAGGTGGGAGGATCCCCAGAGCCCAGGTGATGCTGGGACAGCCCCCAGCAGAACTCACCAGAACGGACGTGTCTTGTATCTGATCTGTATGACATGAGAGCCACTAGTTACACGTGGCCACAGAGCACTTGAAATGTGCCGAGTACACTGAGCAACTGGAGCTTATTTAATTTCTCTTCATTTAAACCAAAGTGGTGGGTGTGGGTTTTTGTTGTTGCTGTTTCAATTTTTAGAAAAAGGCTCGGGTACCCCCCTCAGCAGCAATCTGACTGTGGTGTGCGTCTCTCTTGCAGCCGTCGGACAAGGAGGTGTTCAGCCGCTCGGTGACCAGCCTGGCCACGGACGCTCCGGTCAGCAGTGACCAGAACGGCGCACTCACCAACGGGGACAGTAAGTCCTGCAAAAACACCAGCTTTCCACGCAGAACTCATCCCCTAAGGAAGGTGTAGGTCTCCAAAAGTGTAGCTCAAAGACTAGGAAGTGTGAGCCTGCTCACTTTGTGTACCAGTTTTAGCAGAAGTCATCTCATGTGGATGAAAAGCTCAGGTGCGTCGATTGGCTTTGGTGTGGCATTGCTGACTCGCTTATCCTAACAGCCACCTGTAAGGTTGCTGTAACAGTGACCTCGCTGCCCCCTGTAAGATGAGTCTTAATATAAGTAGCGTTACTGTCCACAGCAGGCAGCGAGGAGTGATGGCTTATGGCTGCTGCAACAGACTGCCAGGAACTTGGTTCCTTAGGACAACATACGTGAACTCAGAGTCTTGGCAGGGCTGTGCTCCTCCCAGAGGCTCTGAGGCCCCTGCCTTTCCCTCCACCCACATCTCTCTCCCACTGACCCGCCTCCCTGCCTCACTTGGGGGCCTCATGATAACAGTGGCCCACCTGGTAGTGACACAGGCCCACCTGGGTACCTCGGGCTGCTCCGTCCCTCTCGGGTCAGCTGATACTTCCATCTGGGTCCCTAGTCCCTCCCCTGACCCATAACCTTCCACACTCACAGGATGCGGGGATTGGGACCGGGACCCTCTGGGCCGTTAATCTGCCTGCCACACAGAGGTCAGTCATTTACCTGAGATCAGTCAGGGCAGCCGAGACAACTTACTAAATATTGTGTTGGAAAGACGTGACCGAACTAGGAGTGCCGACTGACAGTCGGAACGTCGGAACCTGCAGCCTAGAGTCAAACACGAGTAAGCACGTTGACACTGCGCGGTGTCCGATTCCCCGTCGTAACGACCTCGGGCCGTCTTTCCCCCTTACCCCTCTGCTGCAGTTGTCTCGGAAGACAGTGCGGTGACCTGCATGCAGCATTACGAGGAGGTCCTGACCTCGGCCTCCGACCTGCTGGACTCCCAGGACAGCTCGGGGAAGCCAAGGTGTCACCAGAGCCGGGAGCTGCCCAGAATCCCCCCGGATAGCGCCGCGGACACGCTGGTCAGTGCCAGGAGCCTGGACGGGGACCCGGGGGTGGGGACGGAAGGGCCCTACGAAGTGCTCAAGGACAGCGCGTCCCAGGAGAACGTGGTGGAGGACTGCTTGTACGAAACGGTGAAGGAGATCAAGGAGGTGGCCGCAGCCGCGGCCCTGGGCAAAGGCGCCGGCAGCCGGGCCAAGGCGGCCTCC